TTGCATCAACTCTACCCGTGCGTACGCGCAGTGGACAGGGGAGATGTGACGGCGCCGGTAGTGCCGGCTGACAATGAGGAGGTCCACAACGAGTATTGGGTGCCGTATCTGCGCGCCTATCAGCTCACAGTTGGCCTGTCGTACCGGAGCCTTATCGGTAACATTGCCGACCCCACCCTCGACCCGCCGTACAACACAGGCGACCGGTATTTTGTGCGCCAAATGTTTCCGGTCGAAAGGTATCGATGGGGTCAGGTATGGGAAGTGACGGGCGGTTCGGTGCTCCAGAGTCTGACCGACATCGTGACCGGCCCCGGGCCCCACTTCGCCATATACGTGTGCGCCGGCGCCAAACTGGTGGTGAACGACGAGTACAACTGGATTATGAACGAACAACCACCGTTCAAACACCAACGCACCCTGGTGCAACAGGGAGGCGTGATCATTGTGAAGGGTGCGTTGACTATGCGGCCGCCCAGTCTGGACCTCGCATTGCGCTTTTACGTAGACCAATGCGGACTCGACCAGTGCCCACTTCGAGCGGCGAACGACGACCTCAACGATATGATTCGGCACATCGACTGTCCGGTGCTATTCCTGGCCCCGAATGAGTCCGAGTACGGGTCCATCGCGTGGGAGCTGTCCATCAATCGCAGACCTTTGACCAACGAAGATGAGCGCGACTATCGGCTCAAGGAGTGTGTGCTCGTGGCTCCGGACGGCGGCCGCATTGAGGCTATTGTCGAGTGGGTCGGAGAGAGAGGAGGGGTCGCCGAGTTGGCCGCCCGACACCAGTACGAGCGGCTGTACGAGTCGTGCGTACAAATGAACAATCGGGGGTATAAGGAGCAGGAGTTCGCGTGTCCGGCCGATCGGATACTTATGAACCGCATACTGAAAAACACTCAGTTGGAAGCCGATCGCACCGTCAACGTTGACATCGAGGCTAACACCGGCAACCCCTTCGCCGCGAACCGACTGGACGACCACCGGCCGCTGCCAGTGGTGTACAACACTCATCGAGTGCTCGATTGGCTGACCGGTGACGAGCGATTGGATGAACCGCCGCCGATGGCGCCCGAGTTCCCACTCTTACAGTTCAACAACGCGGTCGAGAAAGTATTCGCTCCGCATACCGGACAATTGAATCCCATCGGGCAATCCATTGGCTATCGTTACTCTTGGGTGACCGGACGTGTGTGGCCCACGCCATACCTGTATCAGGTGTCGGACGACGGTCAATACGCACAATTGTTTGAGCCGCGGGGCAAACACACCCGACACCTCTATCGCTATGAACGCCAACCCTTTCAGACCCAACCCAAAGACCTGTGCGACGGACACAACGCCTACGTCGGTATCGATGGCTGGGTATACAAAAAGGCGAACGACACTGATCTTGGTCAGTGCGAGTCTGTGTACTATTCGGACCGTTGACCAGTGGTGGGGCTAACTCTCTTTCTCATTAGTGCACCCGCCTATTGGATCCCATTTTGCCGTTTCATTTAGTATTAGTTTTTATTATTTTCCATTTCAGTATTCATTTCAATGAATAAAACAATTAGTTTTCAAATCACTTTAAATAATGTTACGCTTATTGTGTATTGTCATTTGCTCGGTTTGTTCGCCAACCGTTTCACACCCGACCCCAAGACGTGTGCGACGGAAGCAGAGCCTATGTAGGCATCAATGGCTGGGTTTACCGTAAGATGGATGTCGGCAATAAGACATCCTGTCCGTGAGTGCGGATATCGGTGAGTGCGAGTCTGTCTACTACCGCAACATAGAGGACTGGGATTGGGTCTAACTGTCTGTTCCCATAAGATGTTGGCGCTCAGAGCTTATCCCCAAAAAAGTTGTATTATTTGTATTCATTTTAATGAATAAAGCGATTAGTTTTCAGTAGAAATAATGTTTACAATTGTGTTCATAAACTAGAAATAATTTAATTGTTTGTATTAAAATATTATACAATATATTAAATTTGGTTTTATTAGATCTCAAGTATTACCAGATTTGTAGCATTTATTTAAACGAATAAAAAAATTATTTTTTCAATATTTATATTTTTAGTTCATGTTATGTTTATTATTTAAAAATAGTTTTTATTAAATATAAATTTTGAATAATTATTTGTGATTATAATTAAAGTACACATTTCAAGTACAAGTTTAAATTAAATTTTTTCACGTAAAATTTAATAGAAATTATGTGCACAACTTGTTTGATTGTAATTTTAAAAATAATTGAATGGCTAGTATTGTAATTAAAATAAATGTTTGCTCAATAATCTATTAATTGTATTTAAACTATGCCTTTCAATTCAACTCACTTTTAAATTACAAACAATTAAATCTAATTAAAAAAACTTTTTTATAACACAAAACACTAAAACTCAGTTCACAAACCTAAGTGTAAGACTAACACAAACCTCTGTCGATACATACCCTTCAAACCATACCATACCCTCAGCACCCGGTTATAGACACCAAACAAAAATGCCAGTGCCCACATTCAACCCGCCACTTGTTGAGCAAGGCTTACGGCGCATACGCGTGCATCCGGTGCGCCGAAGCTGGCTTCACAGGAGTAACCCCCCGACTAACCAAGTGGTGGGCGAGCAATACAACCGCTTAACGAGAGTATTGTTTATGTGCCCATACAACACATCCTATGCAGAGGCCTACCAGCAACCGTTCACCGTCCGGTGCCAAGTGTTGGGCCTGTTCTTCGTGGGCGCAGTCACCGTATGGCCAGACATCACACCGACAGTCACGTACGACCATCTGGGCGTAGGTCTGAACAGATATTGGCTAAAGGGAGCGCGCGCGCAGTTTGGTATACACGTGTGTATGGCCCGCACCGGACAGTTGTATGTGATCAGTATGTTTGTCAACGGGACGCCTCAGCAACCTGGTGGACGCGGAGTTACAGTAACACCCGTACACCAACTCTACCCGTGCGTCCGGCGCCGGGACGACCACCAGTGCGCGTTCGGTTACGTGGCCCGAGCGCCACATCGGCAGGTCTACAATCACCCTGGCTATGGACACACTCGACTGGGCACGTATCAGCTGACGGTCGGCCTGTCGTATCGAAGTCTTATTGACGCGAACGACATGGACGAGCCCTACGACGTGGGCGACAGGTATTACGTACGCCAACAGCCATTGGATTTGGCGCACGAGTGGGGACAGGTGTTTGAAGTGACGGGCGGTTTGGTAGCCGCGCGTTTAAACGAACTGACCCAAACCGGTGCCGGACCCTACTTCGCCCTATACGTGTGCGCCGGCGCCAAACTGGTGGTGCACGACGAGTACAACGCCGACATCAACAACCGGGAGCACCAGCGCAACCTGGTGCAACAGGGCGGCGTGGTCATTGTGGAGGGCGAGCTCATATTGCGGCCGCCCAACGACGACAGGGACCTGCGCTATGGCCTCAATGAGTGCGGCCTCGAGGGGTGTTCGTTGCGATCGGCGGTCGAGGCCACCAACGAAGCGGTCCGAAACATTGACTGTCCCGTCCTTTTCTTGGGGCCCAACGAGTCCGAGTACGGGTCCATCGCGTGGAAGCTGTCTCTACAGCGTATTCATGGCGATAACGATGTGCGCGAATATCGGCCCCGGGTTTGCCTGATAGACACGCCGGACGGCGCCCGCTTCGAGGCCATTGTCGAGTGGGGCGGACAAGACGGAGGGGCCGTCGAGTTGGCCGCCCGACACCAGTACGAGCGGTTGTACGAGTCGTGCGTACAAATGAACAATCGGGAGTATATGGGACAGCAGTTCGCGTGTCCGCCCGATCGGACACTTATGGAGCGGATACTGACCAATACTCACTCGGGAGCCGATCGCACCGTCAACGTTGACATCGAGGAGGGCACCGGTACCCTCTTCACCGGGAACCGACTGGACGACCACCAGCCGCTGCCAGTGGTGTACAACACTCACCGAGTGCTCGATTGGATGACCAACGCTGACCCTAGGAATGAACCGCCGCCGATGGCGCCCGAGTTCCCACTCTTACAGTTCCAGAACGAGGCCGAGAAAGTATTCACTCCGCATATGAAAGCTCCCATTGGCTACGGTTCGGGCGATCCCATTGGCTACGGTTACAATGAGGTGACCGGACGTGTGTGGCCCACGCCATACCTGTATCAGGTGAAGGATGACGGTCAATACGTGCAATTGTTTGAGCCGCGGGGCACACATACCCGAAAACTCTATCCCTATGAACGCCAACCCTTTCAAACCCAACCCAAAGACCTGTGCGACGGACACAACGCCTACGTAGGTATCGATGGCTGGGTATACAAAAAAGTGGACAACACTGAGCTTGGTAATTGCCAGTCTGTGTACTATTCGGGCCGTTGATCAGTGGTGGGACTAAACTCTCTGTCCAATTAGTGCCTCAACTATTGGATCCCAAAGTCATTTCATTATCTCTAAAATATTTGCAGATTTTTAGTTCATTTCAAGCAATAAATAGATTTAGTTTTTAGGAAAATACTGTTTGCATAAAATATTTATCAAGTTTATGATGAAATAGTGGATGTTTTTAATATGATCTTGTTATTGAATCACCAAGATGTTTTTAAAATATTGGCAATATTAGAGAACGCTATGGCTTACTGTTTGTCATTAAATAATAAACTAATATTTTAAAAATAATTAACAAATTATATGTATTTTTTTGGATAGTTTATTGAATTTAAAAAAATACAATTATTACAACAATTACAAATTCATAAAATAGATTTCTTGTTATATTTATAATAATTATTGTTTGTTTTTGTGATATTTGTATTTCACATTTTGCTATTAGCTTTGGTCAACAGTCCGGCGCCGGGTGTCTGGGAAACGGACGCCCGATTTGGGACAACAATGCCTGAAAACCTTTTCTTATTGGCCGGTTTAAGGATCTATTAATGATTGAACAAGATTAAAAATAATTGCATAATTCAATCAAAACTAATTTAAAACTAGTTTAATTGGCAATCAGTAACTGACCTGAAACGAGCACATGAGTGACTCGTCGACCGACATGAGCGCAGCCGCGTTGTCAAACTCACCGCAATAGTTGGGCGCCGAGAATATTGTGACCAATTGGCGTCTGGCGAAAAACTCGTAACCGTCCTCTACAACCTTGTTGCAAATACAAATAAAAAACAAAATAAAAATTACCACGAGCGCATAAACAAGCACCCCACCCCAAAAAATACAAAATTGTAAACTGCAAACCTCCAATCATCGCAAAGTGAAAAGCTGAAAACTCAATTGTATTAGCACAAGTGATTTATTTGCAAAACCACCATAATAATAATCAAAACGACCCCGGTTGGGCATTCATACCTGATGAGCTCGCACAATTAGATCCATATCGTGTTTATGCAAAAACTTGGCCACAATTTCGGAGCCAAAGGCAAAGCCGGCGCCCCTTTCATTCTCGGCCCAACCCTTGCACTCAGTTTCCGGGTCCGACCACAACAGGTCGCACATGAGGCCCGAGTCGGGCACGTCTGTGGGCCGGTGTAGGCGCCGGATCTGCTCCATGGACTGGAGGTCGGGGCTGAGCCCTCCGTGACAGCAAAATATACGCTCGTCAACGATGGCGGCCACCGGAAGGCAATTGAAACAATCGATGAATGTTTTCCATAGCTTTATGTTATACCGGCGTTTGCCTGCAAAATAAAATTATTATATTAATAATAGTCAACTTTTTAATGCATGTTTGTATTTTAAATATTTATTATGAGATTGGACTGGATTTGTTGGTAGTAAATTAATTTTACATTTAAATAATTGTCATTTACTTAATTAGTTATATAATATAACTTATATTTAACGATAGTTTTATAGTCTTTAAGGGGTTAAGAAGGGTTGGTAGGGGTGGGCTTTGGGGTGAGACTTACATTCATCGTAAAAGCCATAGATGCGGTTGACTGACGCCGCCTCGTGATTGCCCCGTAATAGGAAAAAGTTTTCAGGGTACTTTATTTTGTAAGCCATGAGCAGGCATATGGTCTCCAATGATTGTTTACCACGATCCACGTAATCGCCCAGAAATAGGTAGTTGGCCTCCGGTGGGTGCCCGCCGTACTCGAACAGCCGCAGCAGGTCGTAGTATTGGCCGTGTATGTCACCTATGGGCGATTGTGTGCCAAAGTGACATGGTTAGTTTTGTTGTTTATATTTATTTAATTGAATGGATTTAAAAGTATAAATGTTGAGTTGTTGTTACAAAAAAAAGTATATACATTTTGAGTAAAATATAAGGACTAATATAAAGATACAGATAAAGTGAGTGCGTGAGAAAGAGAGAGAGAGAGAGAGAGAGAGAGAGAGAGAGATTAGGTAACCAACGTTTACACAAAAAATATTATATATAAGTTATATTAACAGTTGATGACAAGTCAAATATCACGTTAATTGCATTTTCAATACAACATTAACTTTGCAATAGATTTTTACATTTATACTAAATTATATTCAGTTAAACATTTAGTTTACTAATTCAAATATAATTTTGTATTAAACTAAGGTTAGTATTACAACAACAAAAAAACACAATAAATTACTTGTGTTATACACAAAACTCAGAGTTAATTATAATTATAATTAAATTAATTAATATACATGTTCATCAAATACAAATAACTAGCATTAATTAACTATAATACTTTGCTCTGTTTTATTCTATTTCAAGTTTAGTACCATATTCCTTATAATGGCCGATTCAAACAAAGTAGACATCGATTCAATTATACAAAGACTACTCGAGGGTAAGTTTGTCAATAATTAATTTAATTTATTGTGTATAAAATAAAATGGTAGCCATTTTATCTTATTACATTTATATATGATGATTCACTACTCTTGCTCTATGATTACATAATATCAAAATGTACACAAGTACATGATTGTATTATGCCAATATCTTACACTATGTAACTAAAATAATAAATTGCTTATAATTTGTAACTTTATTTTAATATGCAGTCCGGGGTTCGCGTCCGGGAAAGAGTGTCCAGTTGTCCGAAACGGAGATAAAGTGTTTGTGTAATAAATCGCGTGAAATATTTCTCAGTCAACCCATACTACTCGAGTTGGAGGCGCCCCTCAAGATATGCGGTAATTGTCCTATTTCATTTTTATTTTATTCTTAATATAATTTAATTTATATTTTAATTATAGTTATTTCAATTTATAATTACAAGTTATACTTAAAAATATACTTTTTAGTTTGTTTTTTCTTGTATATTGACTGAAAAACAATTTCAAGGCTATCATGCTCTCTCTCTCTCTCTCTCTCTCTCTCTCTCTC